GCAAGCCCCCGCCCTCTGGAGCTTATTACATTTTAGTAGCGGAGATAGGTAAGAAAAGTGTGTGTGTGTAATCCTTTGAGACATAAAGGAGAGCAGGTGAGGCCCTGAGGAACGAGGAACGGCCGGGAGGCAAAGAGCAGCACAGAGCGGGTAAGAAGGCGGCAGCCATCAGCCAGACGCTCAGGACCTCGTCAGCCACTGTGAGCACTTGGGCTTTGCCTCAGTGAGACAGGAGCCCTTGGAGGGCTTGAGCACAGAGGTGGTGGCATCTGGCTTAGATTTGTGGAGAAAGGGCCCCGCGGGCAAGGATGGAGCCGAGGAACTGCTGCAGAAACCCCGGGGAGGGAAGGAGGTGGTGTGGATGAGGGGTCAGCGCTGAAGGCAGCAAGTGAGCTCAGGTGCTGGACCTGCCACAGTGGAGCCAACAGGAGTGGCTGGTGGGTTGGACTGCAAGCGAAAAAGGAGCATCCGGAAGGATTCCAGCCTAAGGCATCCCTCAGGAGGGATGGTGATGTGGAAACCAGGAGTTTGGTTTTGCACATGTTACGCTGAAGTTTGAGGAGCCCATTAGGTATCACATACCAAATAGAGAGTCAGATATGTAAGAGGAGTTGAAGGAGAGGCGGAGGTAGCCTGACTGGCGGGGGGGGGGGGGAGTCATGTGGTCTGGATGGTGTTCAAAGCCAGGAGACTGAGGTCAGTGTAGGCAGAGGAAGAGTCAGAAGACAGCTTGGTTGGAGGTGCCAGGGGCCAGAGGACAGTGGAATTGAGCAGAGTCATGAGCGAGGAACCCAAGAGGGATGGATGTGCTGGAAGCCGAGGAGAGGTGCGGGAGGGAGGGAGCAGCACTGTCAAATGCTGCTGAGAGGTTGAGCCAGGGAAGGACCAAGAATCCTCTTTGGGGTTTGGCAACACGGAGATCGGCGAGGACTTCAGCAAGCGATGTTTTGGTGAGGTGGTGCGGGCAAAAGGCTGCAGTGAGTCGGAGTGAGAAGGGAATACGTGGTGCTGGCGGGTACAGACAGGTCTTCTCAGGAGTGGGCTCTACACAGAACCAGAGAGATGAGCTGGAGGGAGATGTGCGGGGAAGGAATGGTTGTGTTTTTAAGCTGGGAGATAGCACCACGTGTGAGTATGCTCATGGGGATGATCCCACAGGGATGGTCCCCGTTCCTTTCATCATTGGTGATGCTGTGTCTTGTTTGGTGACTCACTCGCCCTATGGAGAGAGGACCACGTTAGTGGAAAGAGCATGAGCTTCGCCCATGTGCTGAGTGGGTGAGACTCTCACTTCAGCCATTCGGAGTTGCCATCACATGTTTCCCGCCCAGTAACCTGGGCTTATGGTCCTCCCTGGATGCACAAGAGTATTCATGAGAGGATGCTCATAAAGCAACTGGCATGATGCTTAGCACATAGTAGATACTCCTCATTACAGAAAACTGTACCTGCCTGGTTCTTGTCTTCCAGAAGTTTCCACATCAAGGCAAATGACCTTTCCCATTTCAATGTATGCTAACCACGTGGAGACAGCAGACTGTCTTAACAGAGCTCACAAAAGGCCAAATGTTTTCAAGAGCAACAGGATCAGGAAAAGTGCGTATAATTAGGGCGGGCAGGTCAGCTCAGATGCAGGAGGTGATGGCGGATTCCAGGCGGAGACGCAGCTGTGATTGCTCAATCTGTGTCTGTGACACGCAAGGGCACGTCAGCCATGGTGGGGGGGTTGTTCCAGCTGAAAAGACAGTACCCGCAGGGGCACGGGAGGCAGCTCAGCAAACACAGGGAAGATGTGGGCACAGACCGTAGTCTCAGGCACCCCAGGTAGTTGGCAGCGCTCTCAGCATGGGCACCGAGAGCCTGTGCTCAGGGTTGTTGGGGGTAGGAAAGGGCACCCCACCCTGAGAGAGGCGTGGGACACAGAAACGAGGCGGTCGTGGGGCTGTGAGGTGCTTACAGCCCGTCGGTCCTGTGGAAGGAGGCGAACAGCACACCAAGTGCTGCGAATGGAAATATGCAGAGCATTCCGAGATCCCAGCTCAGGGCGCCTGACCCGGCCTGGGCAGGCTGGACGGCTGAGGGCGGCCACCTTGCTGGCTGCGCTGCTTTCTAGCTGTGTGGCCTGAGGCAAGTCCTCTCCATTGCCAGCCCGTGGTTCTGCAGGGAAGTCACACTGCGCTGGGGGCAGTAAGACCAGCTCCACCTCCAGTATTGCAGGTGGTGGTGGCAGAGAATATGCCGGATGGCAACCGCCTGAGTCAGAACCTCCTGACCGTTGGTGGGGCAGGACCCAGGAAGGGCCTCCAGTGTCCCTCTGGAAGGGAGACAAAAACGTGGTCCTCATGCCAACCAGTCAGTGATCAACATGTATCTACGCAGTGCCCACTCTCTGCCAGGGACTCCAGCCAGGAGGTGGCAGTGAGTCTTCAGCCAGTCAGCCCACCCCACCTGGGAAGAGGGGGCACAAAGGGGAGACCCGGCCAGGGGCTAGTCTTGGGGACAGAGCTTTCATTTCTTCAGGCATATTATGTCTTCCAAAAGCACTTCTCACCCATTATTTGATCCCTGTAAATGGCGTCACGAACCAGACGGGACAGGTGGTATCGGCCCTGCTTTTCAGTTAAGGAACCAGGCCCAGAGAAGCTAAGAGACTTGCCTAATGTCACACAGCTTTCGGAGACGGAGGTAAAACTAGACCCCTACGCTTCTTGCAATGTATGTGAAAGCACTTTTCAGTGAAGTGTGACACCCCAGGGCAGCTTGTAGTTAGGTCTTGCCGGAGGCTGGGCCCTCCAGCGTGCCTGGGAGTCACTGGGCTGGGCGGCGCGAGGCGCCAGGGCGGTGGGGGCCCTGGGAGGAGGGCTCCGCCGGGTAGGGCTCTCCATCCAGCCCAGGAGCAGGACCTGGATCCCAAAAGGCTTTGGGACGGCAGTGGGTGAAGGCCACCCGAGGACACTTTGATAGAACAAACTCAAAACCTTCATTAACAAAGAGAAGGGATACCCAGAAGGGCTTCGGCGGGAGATGCGAGCGTCATTCTGGATCGCAAAGGTCTCTGGGTCCCCAGTGTGGGAGAGGCTCCGGGGGTGTCCGGGACGGAGGCTGGGGCACACATCCTGTCAGGCCTCAGAGCCTAGAGGCTTTTGTCCCAGGCAGCCACTCGTCCCCCCTGGCTCTCAGCTCCTGTAGTCGTCGGTGGAGAAGGTTGCAGGTGTGGTCTTGAGGGCCTGTGGGGCCCTGACACTCAGTTGCTGTGTGGCCTTGATACTAAAGCTCAGAGACATGCCCCAGGTGCCCAGTGGGTCCCCGGGAATGGCCACCCTTGACTCTGGCAACATCCTTTCACCCCTCAGGCCTGCTGATTCAGCATTGTCTGTGGTGGAAGAGGAAGCTGAACTCAGCACTGACCTCTACAACTGTTTAAACCCTCTGTTTGATTTTGGGGACCCACAGGCCTTCCCAAGTACACGGATCTGTGCGGTTCTGGCCCTGACAGCAGGAAGGGCCACAGGAGGCCCAGTGTGCAGAACTGCACACCAAACAGCACCCACCCCTGACCCTTCCGAGGGCTGGCTGTTCCCCCGGCTCCCACTGCCGGGAGCGCCAGGCCATACCAGGGGCCCACGCCTCGGGCGGGCGCACAGGGCAGCCATTGTCCCCGCAGGGCCTGGCACCCTCTCGTTTGCATAGCCATGTGAAGAATGCAAGGGTGCAGGCTGGGGACGTGCCCCTGTGGAGGGGGGCCGGGGCCACGGGGGAGGAAGCCGGGGTGGTCAACGGCAGAATCCTGCCTCCCCCCAGTGCAGTCCAGCAAAAGCAGGTGGCCCCTGGAAATGCGGGGGGCGGGCGGCTGGCAGGAGTGGGAGCAGGGTGGCGACATTCGCCCTGCACCCATGGCGAACGGAACGTGAGGGGATTGCTAATGAGGTCCAGGAGAGTTAAATATTCCCCGGCTCCTCTGGAGGGCTGAGCTGGGGTGGGAGAGAGAGGGGAAGGTGGGTGCGAGGAGGGTGAAGCCTGAACCCCAGGAATGTGCAGAGGCTACGGCTCCCTCCCCGCCAGGCTGTTCCTAAGCTGGGAGCCAGCGCTCAGTGCCTCGGCCCCAGCCGGAGCTGCAATGCTGGCCGGAGAGGGGATTAACGGGCTGAACCTGCTGCCTTCCTTCAGGCCGATGCCAGAGGCGCCCGCTATCTCCTGCCTCCCTGCGGGGCCCCTCACTGACCAGCAGCCAGGTCTGGCCCAGCCTTGATGGGGCCCCTCTTCTGCCCCCCTCAGACCTCGGACCCCACAGTGCATATTCCCTGGTCTGGCCGCCCCTGTCTTCGATACACGTGGCCCTCAGGCGCCCAGGACCCCCTCTCCCCAACACCCCTTCCCCAGCCCAGTGTCTCCTCCATATCTGGCCTCAAGGCCCTCTCCAAAAAGTCCTCCCTGATGTCCTACTCTAGTCTTACCTGCTGCAAACTGGAATTCCATTTCCCTTCTGTCCTACAGGCAGAGAGGACTGCAAGCCCCCAGGGTCAGTTCAGTCATGCAAGAGCAAAGTCCGTCATCTCAGGGTTGGGGCTTGGGGGGAATTAGGAGAATTTAGGCACTGGTACCAGATTCCTAAAGGGGTTTTCCTGGCAGAAAGGCCCTGAGGACAAGCAGAGTCGCCCCTTCCAGCCCCTCCCTTCTCCATCAGGGGGGCGGGCGTCAGGGGAGGTGGCCCCACCTGCTCCACGGCCAGCTCCCCACCCCCAGGGGGCTGAGCAGGAGTTTTGCTGGGACCTGTCCTGGCTTAGCTGGCTGCTGTGGGCGGGCCCCTGGCCTTGTCAGTGCCTAGGCCTCCCCCTGCATTCTAGAGCCCCAGCCACTGCCTTTGCTGCTGCTGTGGCTGGGCTGCCACCGCTCCTTTTCAGCCTCTTGCCACCGCTGCACTCCACCCCCGCCCAGCAGCTCGGCTAACTTGGCCATGCCCCTGGCTCCCCCAGGGACCCTGGCCCAGCCCTGAGCTCTGGGACCCCCAGCCCTCTCCCCTGGGCCATGGCCAACTCGGGCCTCCAGCTCCTGGGCTACTTCCTGGCCCTGGGTGGCTGGGTGGGCATCATCGCCAGTACAGCCCTCCCGCAGTGGAAGCAGTCCTCCTACGCGGGCGACGCCATCATCACCGCTGTAGGCCTCTACGAAGGGCTCTGGATGTCCTGTGCCTCCCAGAGCACCGGGCAGGTGCAGTGCAAGCTCTATGACTCGCTGCTCGCCCTGGAAGGTAGGCCTTGTGCTGGCTGGGTTGGGGGTGGGGGTGGGGGTGGGGGGGGTCGCGAGCAAGCTTTTACACAGTCCGCCATCTGCACGGGGCTCCACCCTTCAGCCCCCTGCCCCGTGCACTTATGATAATCTAGGTCAGCCCGGTGCCCCATAGCAGGCAGGGGCTCTAGGTTCTGGCAGCCTTGGGTTAGATCCTAGCCACTGACCCTCTCTGTGTTCCTGTATCTTCATGCGTAAACGGAGTACTATGGCTTTTACAGGCTGATGGGAGGGTCAGGTAAGATGAGTGCCTGACACCGGGAAAGGCTCAGTCAAGACCCTCCCCTCCACTTCTCCCCATGCTTTGCAGGCAGACATGCTTGTGAGCACATGCTGGCCCCGCTGGATAGAAAAGCATGCTGGCATGCAGGTGTATGTGCACACATGTATGCACACACATACACATGCATGTGCGCACACAGGTGCTCCGGCCCACAGGTTCCTCTTCTCTTCCTCCTGGGGTATGGAATTGAGCCTGGCAATTGGCTCATAAACAGGCACCACTGCGGTTCTGTTCATGGCTCAGGGCCCAGACACCCACCCTCTGCCCACAGCCCACAGGCCAGAGCCAGGCTGCCCCTGCCACGCTGATCCAGGAAGATCATCTGGCCTCCCTGAGCTCCCCCCGCGCCCCCACCCCCGGGCTCCCCCCACCCCAGCCCAGGGCTGACTCAAGCAGCAGGCACACGACTGCTATGGTGACTCACCTGGCAGAGGGGAAGATGACCAGAATCAGGGTAGCCAGCGGGGGTTGGCATCCTTGCCTGCGGGCCACCCGGGCTGAATTGGGCCTCGGCCGCCCTTAGTTCCTCTTTTTGCTGAAGATGCCTCTGCTGCCTGGGTGCAGAAGGACAGGCCCAGAAGGGGATCCCCAGCCAGAAAAGAGCTGATGAGAGAATTCAAACTGCCCCGTCACCACATGCCACCAAGAGGAGCCTGCAAGTGCGAGCGAGCGGTGGGGTTACACAGGGAAGCTCGGCTCCACGCGTGTTTCACTAACCCCATACCTGCCCAGGTGGCAGTCCAGGCGGAGTTTCCAGCTCCTGTTCCAGCCCCTCCCACCCTGGGCCTCCCCCATCCACCCACCTCCCCCACCGCCTGCTCAGTCCCTCCCGCCCCCCCCAGGTCACATCCAGTCAGCACGAGCCCTCATGGTGGTGGCCGTGCTCCTGGGCTTCGTAGCCATGGTCCTCAGCGTCGTCGGCATGAAGTGCACCCGGGTCGGAGACAGCAACCCCATCGCCAAGGGCCGCATTGCCATCTCTGGGGGCGCCCTCTTCCTCTTGGCAGGTGAGAGCCCTGGGCTGCTTCTACCAGCTTAGCCACAGCAGGGGGCCCCGCCCTGGTGGCCAACTGGGGGCAGGGCTGAGCACCCCCTCTGCCCTCAGGCCTCTGCACCTTGACCGCAGTCTCATGGTATGCTACGCTGGTGACTCAGGAGTTCTTCAACCCAAGCACACCTGTCAACGCCAGGTGAGTGCCGAAGCATGGCTCGGGCCAGGGGCGGGCTGGGCCTCCCTTTCCACGGCCCCTGGAGCCACTGGCCTTCATCCTGCAGGGTCCTCAGAAAGGGAAGCAGGGGACAGCCCCAGGTGCTGTCACTGAGAAGCTCTCTGGAGCAGGAAACCAGGCAGGGTGTGGCTGGGCCCGTGGAAGGAGCAGGAGGCCTGTGGAGGACGCCCCAGGAGCTAAGTGCCTCGCTCTGGGCTTAAATCCCAGCTCTGCAAGTGCTCACTGTGTGGCAGTGCTGGTTCCTTAGTCTTTCTGTGCCAGGTGTGCGCCCTGTAAAACCCAAGGACCCAGCCCACATGTGGTTGTGAGGGTGCGATGCGATGGGCAGGTAAGGGACTTGGCACAGTGCTGGGTCCTGGTGTGCGCCCGGCCAGGCCGAGCCGTTCTCTTCCTGCAGGAGGCGGCAGTTCCTTCGGGTGGGAAGGGGGTAGGTTAGGCTGGAGAAGAGAGAGCCTGGCAGCCAGAGGAAGCCTTTGTTCCCCAGCCCGGGTGGAAAGCAGCCGACCATCGCACCAGCCGTGGGGTAAAGAATGAGGGGGAAGGGGCAAGGCCAGAGAGGTACTGTTGCAAAGGCCTGGAACAGAGGGCTGGGGCCAGGGGCAGGCAGTGGGGAGTAGGTCAGAGATACTTAGAGGGCAGAGTGGTCAGGGCGTGTATGACCAGGGGCTTGGGGGCCGAAGAAGGGATTCTGTGAAGGGCGTGGGTCCCTGTGGCCCCTCCCTCACCTCTCAGCTCTGCCAGGCGCGGAAAATGGGACCTTCTCAACCTCAGACATCCCCACAGGCCTTGAGTGGGAAGGAGGGGAGGATAAGAAAAGAGATGCCTGGGCTTTTGCCTTTGGGAGGGCTCCCTGGAGGAGGTGGAGGAGTGGAAAGAAAAATGAGACCTCCGGTGTGCTGCCTGAGGCAGGCCGCTCTAGCCACGAAAACCTGCCAAGTGAGAGGCAGCTCAGCTTGGGGGTGCCAGGCTGGCTCTGCCCCTTCATCCCTTCAAAACTCCCCCAGGCCGCCTGGGCAGCAGGTCCTGTGCTGGGCTCTGGGGATACTGACAAATCGGGTGCTGTCTGCCCTCGAGGTCCTCCCCAGGGGGCTGAGCAAGCAGGGGACTGAATGGCCACCTATTGAGAGTCAGCGCCATTGGCCCCTGACCCTTCTGTGCAACCCTCCAAGGGGTAGTTTCTTAGCCGGGCCCTGAGGGCGGAGCACAGGAGGCACAGAGAGAAGACTTCCAGGAGGGGGCGCCTCGTGCAAAGGCACAGACATGGGGAGCCGCAGGGCACCGCAGGGGCGGGCGGGCGAGCTGGCCAGGAGTTCTGTGGGCCAGATGGTGATAGAAATGGCAAGGATTGCCCTGCTCTCCCCACAGGACTTGCGGGCCCTCCCACGCCCCTCCACTGACTGGCTGAGGAAAGGGGCCCCAGGTTGCACTGGGTCACTGTGTGTGGGGTCGACCTGCTGGAATGGGGGTGGAGGAAGGATGAGCATTCATCCCAGCTTATCCAGAGAGGCTGCTAAGACATGCGAGGGCCCCATCTCAGCTCCTCACACCCTGCCTGCCTCCTGCCAGGGCCGAGGCTAGGGAGCCCCCACTGAAGGCTGAGGCGGCCAGGGTGGCAGCCGCGCCTGATGACATCCTCCCTACCCCTTGCAGGTACGAGTTTGGCCCAGCTCTGTTCGTGGGCTGGGCCTCAGCCGGCCTGGCCATGCTGGGGGGTTCCTTCCTCTGCTGCACATGCCCGGAGCCCGAGAGAGTCAACAGCAACCCACAGCCCTACCGGCCGGGCCCCTCAGCTGCCGCCCGAGAGTACGTCTGAGCCCCAGCCCCAGCCAGCAGCCTTCCCCAGCACTCCACGGCCCCTGCAGTGCCCAGGGCAGGCCAGGAGGACAGAGGATGTCCCCTGAGCTCGGTTAGGGCGCTGAGCAGCTTGTTCCCAACATAGGAGTCCACCCATCGCTCTGAGAGAGGCCAGAGGCAGGACCTAGCCCACAGGGGCACTCACACGTCCCGGTGCACACACGCATCCAGGTGCAGGCGTGGGCCCGTCCACGCAGTCTCTTGGCACCTGTGTGTTTCTTTCACTGACGGCTTATTTACTCACTCAAGGGCTTCTTGAGTGTCTGCACTACGCTGGGCCCCGTGGACAAGACGGACCTTGGCTCCTTGCAGCCACCCCATGGAGGAGGCAGTGCTGGCAGGACACGTGTCCCCACATTACACCCAAGAAAACAGGTTCAGAAAGACCAAGAGGCTTGGCCCTACTGTCTCTGAGTTTAGGTCTCAGCTCTTTTGCCCGCCCAGCACTGCTGGACAGCCACACAGGGGGCCGGGCCAGGCCAGACCACACCCCTCCCTCCCTGGAATGGGCCCCAGGCAGGGCTGCCGTGAGGGCCCGTCTGACCCCACTGGTCGGTCCCTGGGCCTGGGCCCGAACCCCACAGCCCCTGCCCCTCTTTCCCCGACTGCTGCTCACCCCACTAACCAGCTCTCCTCTCTTTTGACTTTCAGACCAGTTCTTAAATTGTCTGCCTCCTCCAAGGCCCCTCTGGGGGTGTAATGTCCGGGTCCCCAGCCTGGCTCTGTCTCCCTGCCACACCTAGACTGTGTGTTTGGTCTTTTTTTGGAAAGAGAAGTGAACATCCAGCCCCAGTGTGGTGTCCTTTGATCTGTCCCTGGCATGGTCAGGGCGGGGGCTGCCCCAGGAAGTCAGAGCTGTTCCCTGGGGTTGTTGGGCATAAAGGAGGGGAGAGAGGTCCAGGGCGGGTTACACAGCAGGGCCAAGGCTGATCAGGACTCCTGCCCCCCACCGCCCCAGTGACCTGCGCAGTCTGGCCTTGGGTTGGCTCCAGGACCTCCTGGATGGGAGACCCCATCCTGAGGCCTGGCCCAGCACTGGGCTCCGGCCCCGGAGTCAGGGAGCCCTTGGCCTAAAGAGAGACACAATCCCACCCCGTTACTCAGCCTGCCCTGGGAGCCCCCCTGGGACCCCTCCCCACCCCGAGAGGGGAAAATCCCTGGGAGGCCCTCCAGCTGGGTTCTGGGGGTCAGAGCCAGCATGAGGCAGCACTGTAGGGTCGCTAAGGGGAGAGGGGCCTGGAGGAAGGCCACTGGGCCCCTCAGTCGTTAGGGGCATCCTGAGGAAGGTTGGAAGCCCCAAGCTCTGCTCCACCACAAAGCCGCTCCTTTTCTCCACCCACCGCTCCTCCTCTCCAGCCGCTGAGGCCCCGCTACATCCCTGCCCAAGAACCAGAGCAGGGAGGGAGCGGCCCGAGCCTGCCCGAGACAGTGGCCAGAGCTCCAGCCTCCCTCGGAGGTGCAGCCAGAGCTGGAGGGGCCTTTGGTCTTAAGGTACAGGTAACCATCCCCCTAGTCTGAAAGGGGGAGGGTCCTCAGATCGGTTCCTCCCCTCAGGCTCAGGCCTCTCCCCCTCAAATGCCCTTGCTGGACCCTGAGTCTCTCTCTGGCCCCTGCCTTCTCCCTCTCCCGCGGAAAGGGCTGAGCACGACTGTCCCTTGCCTTCCCCGTGCCCTCCTCAGCCAGCTTCGTCCCGGCTTCCTCCACCACCTTTCTGTGACCGCATCTCTCACCAAATGGCAAATCCCAAGGACAGACCTCAGCCTGCTCCCTGAGTTTGAGAGGTGGACTCCTCTGACAAGTGACTGTCGTGGAGGCTGCGGGGAAGGGAGGGAGGAGAGGAGAGAAGAGCTGCTATGGGACAATCCCTGAGGCGCCCTGGCCAGGCAGCTGCCACACAGCCAGGGGCCGCCTTGGGAATGGATGGCTGCTTCATGAGGCCCGGCCGGCCGCTGGACAGAGGGGGTACCTGGAGGGTGACCCTAAATGGGTTTACTGGACTCCTGGCCCTCGAGTCATGACTGAGAACTACGAAAGAGCCCGCCTGGGCGCCTGAGCTAAGACTCAGCGCTTCTTGCTTCTGGGTGCACATTCGAGACACCTGGGGAGCTGACTCCCGGGCTCCACCCCCGACATCCCCACTGAAACGGCCTCGGATGGGCCCGGCCTCTGCGTGCAGGCAGCTCCCGTGGGCCTGCAGTGTGTGGGCAGCACCTCTGTGAGCCTGAAAGTTGGGACCACATTTTTTTGCCACTCTGAGGGGGTCTCAGAGGGAGAAAGAAGAGGTGAGGAGTGGAAACACGAGAGGAAGCCCTGTCTCCCTCAGCCTTTCCTGAGACCAGGCTGTTCCACGAGAGTCCTGCCGTCTCCCAATAAATACACCCCTTTTTGAGGAAACAGTTCTGAGTTTGGCTTCTGTCACATACAGCCAAAAGAGCCCTGACAACACCGAATTTGGAAGCTGGGACCTGAGTATTGCGGTGGAGGCTCCTGTCACAGGTGCGACCTGAGCAGGTGCGATGGGGCCCGGAGGCTCGGCCTCCCTGTCCCGGGCTGGGGATTTGGCAGCCCCTGCTATTTGGTCGTGAAGCGGTTGGCCAGGAAACCGTGCGTCATTTCTTGCGGTCCAGGGTCTACCAGAGGTTTAGGACTGTTACCGAGCAAGGGCCCACTGCCCCACACACACAGAAGCCAAACTATGGCGCCAGCTTTTGAGAAAAGAAAGGAGCGTCATTTGCCAGTCAGCTGGCAAGGAGACAGGAGACACGGCTCTAATCTGTCCTCCTCAATCCAGGATACGGGCAGGATTTTAAGGGGTAGCAGTTGAGGGTTCATAACTATTTCACAAGTGTTACTGACAAGTGCTGTATCCAAGGGTTAAACTTTTGTTCTGGGTCTTGTTAGAAACAAGATGGAACCCGGTTCCGCAGGGCCCCCAGCAGGAGGATGTCGGGATAGAGTGTGCAGGCGGCTTGCTGAGGGCTTCAGGGACAGGCTGCGAGAGAGCCAAGCCCCATGCCCAGGGGCTGCCTGGCAGCAAGGCAGGACCAGCTTCAGTGTGATCCTTCCTGAAGGGAAGCCGGAGACGGGAGAGGCGGAGGGCCAGGTCACCACATACAACCCAGTTCACACACTGATGAACAGCGCAGTGGGAGGCTGGCAATGGGACAATGTCTGGGAGAAATCAGAGGGTTGGAAGCTGGGAGAGTTTGGAAGAATTTGGGAAACCTGATCCCCCAGGCCTCTGTTAAAGCAACCTCTCTCCTCAGGGTCACCTGGTCAACTTTGCAGACCTCAGGGCTGGGATCCTGTTTCCGGTCCCAGCCTCAAGGCTAAATAATAAGCAGGAGCCAAAGATGTGATCCTAAAGCTTCTGCCATTGTTTATTTGCCAGAATGAAACTGGCAGGTCCAAAAATATGGTTTGGGGAAGAAAAATAAAGGGTGCACTTGGCCCCTGAGGAAACCCAAGGAACTGAGGGGGTAGACCCATGGCCCTGGAGTAGCGGGCCGGGCACCCCTCTGTCGCTTGGCCCTGAGGATCTGGACATGACTGAGTAATAGGTGATGACCTGGGGTTACGGTTAATTCTGTGTTATAGGTATTGTTCATTTTGTGTGATAATGACCCCACGGTTATTTTTTAAAAACCCTTACCTGTTAGAAGTGCACACTGACATAATATAATGGCTGACTTTGTTTTAAAATATTCTAGGAACAAAAAGGTCAGGGGCAGGTAAAGTTATTTATAAGACTGGTAACTATTGGTACTTAGGGGTTCACTCTATTCTTCTCTCTGTGTCGGCATTCTCAAGTGAAACAAATAAAATGCTAAAAATCCCTCCAAGTTTGTCGAGTTGTACAATTTCATTACGATTGTGAAACATTGCAGATATGTCTTAATCAGGTGATAGGAGTTAACACCAGCAGTAATGGGAAAAAGTCAAAATTGTCCCTCAGTAGAATACATTGAGAAGAAAAACAGCCTCATTTATGTGATATTCCTGCTAGAGGTACATAAACTGAATCTACTTATGACAAGACAGGAAAATCTAAGTTGAGGTTATTCTACAAAATAACAACCTGGATTCTGCAAAACCATGCAAGTTGATGAAAGACAAAGAAAGGCTGAGAAGCTATTGCAGACTGAGGAGATCAGAGAGAGAGAATCAAGTGCTGTGAGTGATCCTGGATCGGATTCTGAACCTGGAACGGACATTCTTGGGACAACCAGTGAAATTTGCATGGTGTCTGTGGTTTAGATGGTGGTACTATGTCAACAGTAATTGCTTGAGCTTGATAGTTTACTGTGGTTTTGTAGAACCACAAACTTTCTTTATATGTTAGGAAATACAGACTGAAGTAGTAAGAGGATAATGAGGTATCAGAAAAAACCTTCCTAGGTACACATGAAAGCAAGGCGAGTATTTGCAGTATAATATTAATTAAGCAATCTGAGTGAAAGGCATGCAGGTATTCTTTGAACTAATCTGGCATTTTTTCTCTGAAGTTTGAGATTATTTCAAAAACAGAAAGTTCTCTTAAAAAGTCTAAAGAAAAGGCTAGAATACTGAGAAGCTGCTCCTTTCAGAGGGCACTTGAAAATCCAGGCGAATGTAGGAAAATCCAGGCGAAAAATGGAGCTGGGAAGGAAAGCTTTGGGTTCACCTAGCATGACAATTTAAAAAATCTTTATTTCACCCTCCTTTTTAAAAAAAGGTTTTATTTATTTATTTTTAGAGAGAGGGCAAGGGAGGGAGAAAAAGAGGGAGAGAAACAGTGATGTGGTGATGTGATGTGCAAGGGATATTTTGATCGGTTGCCCCTTACATGCCCCTAACTGGGGACCTGGCCCACCACCCAGGCATGTGCCCTGACCAGGAATCGAATAAGCGACATTTTGGTTCGCAGGCCAGTGCTCAGTCCACTCAGCCACACCAGCCAAGACTATTTCGCCCTCATTTTTGAAAGCTCTTTTCACTGGGTATAGAATTCTGGGTTGACCCCCCAAACCCACCCTGTTTTTAGGAGTTTATAAATGTCATCCCAGTGTCTTCTAGCTTTCATAGGATTCAAATGAAATGTCTGCCATTGTTTATCCCGACTGGTATGGCTCAGTGCAGGGCTCCCAGCCCCCGGGCCATGGACTGACACCCGTCTGTGTGGCCCGTCAGGAACCGGGCCACACAGCAGCAGGTGAGCGGTAGGCGAGTGGGCGAAGCTGCACGCACATTACTGCCTGAGCTCCACCTCCTGCCTCCCCCTACCCTGCCACTCCCATCCATGGAAAAATTGTCTTCCACGAAACTGGTCCCTGGTGCCAAAAAAGTTGGGGACTGCTGGCTCAGTGGATTGAGCGCTGGCCTGCGAACCAATCTGCTGATCGTTCGTTTCCTGGTCAGGGCACATGCCTGGGTTGCAGGCCAGGTCCCCATTTGGGAGCATGTGAGAAGCAACCGATCGATGTTTCTCCCCGTCTCTTGCTCCCTTCCTTCCCCTCTCTCTAAAAATAAATAAATAAAATATTTAAAAAAAGAGAGAAAAGTCTGCTATGATTCTTATTCCGGTTCCTTTTCCTGCCCCTCTGGTTGCCTTTCAAATATCCTCCATCTTTTTTTTGGTTTTGAGTTCATTCTATTTGGGGTTTCCTGAGCTCCCCACACCTGTGATGCCCTATCTTTCACTGAGTTTGGGAAATTTTCAGCCATTTTTCTCAAATATTTCTGCGGCTACACTTTCTCTGTCTTCTTCGACTACTTCAATTACACACGTGGTATCATCTCACTATTCTTAAATATCGTGTTCTGTTTTACTTTTTCCATGTTTTTCTCTGTGATTTCTACTGATCTTTCATCAAGTTCACGAGCTCTTTCTTCTGCTGTGTCCCCATCTGATAAGCCCGTCTGAGCCATTTCTCATTTCTGGCGGTGGCAGGCTGCTGCTTCCAGCGCCTGGCTGGACACCTGGAATCCAGTTTGTCTTAGTGTCCAGAGCCGCAGCATCCAACAGCCCCCGCATGCCTGCACTACAGAGGGAGCCTCTTTCTCTGATCTTGCCCCTTCCCAGCAGTAGTTTGCCATCATTTGCTTTATGGCTCAGGGCTCATGCTGGTGGCCCGGGAGTTTTCTCA